CAGGAGGAAGGGACATGGTGGCTCCCAGCACCTGGGCCCACAGGAGGGAGGACATGGCGGCTCCCAGCACCTGGGCCTGCAGGGCCAGGGCGTGGCCAGGCTGAGAGGGCGGCCCGGCCCACCTGCCCTCCCAGGACTCTCCCTGGGTCTCTGGGCCTCAAGCCCTGGGCGGCTCCTGGCTGGACGGACCGGGTCTGCCTCCCTGTGGCAGTAGGGAGCTGGGTCATGTCTCAGCTCCCTCCGTGGGTGGCCGCCACGTCACGACCCCTCCACGACAGGTCACGTGGGGTCCCACGGCCGTGGGCAGTGAGCCCCACCTTCCCCGGTGTGGTGGCGGTCGCTCGTGTGGCTCTGGGTCTGAACCGAGCCTCGGCCCTTTCCGGCTGTGGGGTCCACGGCCCGGCCATGTGCAGCACAGCCCTTGAGCACACGGCATGGATGGGCTGCGCTGGGCTGGGCAGAGGGGACCGTGGGACACGCGTGCAGGGTGGGTGTCGTGGGCTGGTGTGGGCTCTCTGGGGACCGACCGCTTGGGGCCTCCCTGCCTCCGCGGGGGCTCAAAGCCTGCCATTTTCTAACACCCCCTGGGGCGGGGGTCACGGCGTCACCTGGATCCACTCCGAGTCCTTTCCCCGGCTGCGCGCAGGACGGTGGGAGGTGACAGACCCACGGGGGCCACGAGGAGACGGCCGGCCCGGACCTGCCCTGCTGCCCCCAACCCCCGCGTCCACCGCCCCCAGGCGCCTCCCCGGCCTGGCCGGTGGGCAGGCCGCCCCACCTCCGTCCGGGCGCCCCCGAGGGCGGCCTCCGCCTCGGCCGCCTGGCTCTGCAGCTCCAGCGTCTCCCGCGCCCTCCGGGCCTGCAGCTCGCCGCGCCCGCGCCTCTCCCTCTGGATCTCGGCTTGCAGCATCCTCACCTGGGAGAGCAGGGACGGCACCACCACGGTCACCCGGCTTCCAGTCCTGGGCTCACACGGCCCACACCCAGGGAGCCCAGGCCAAGCCCACCTGCTCCCGTCCCCGGAACCGTCACCCTGCCTGGCGCCTCCTCTCTGGGGCCGGGACACTCAGAGGACCTGGGGCTGGGGGGGGGGCTCGGTGGGGCGCAGGTGCACATGGATTAGGGCGCAGGTGTGCATGGATTAGGGCGCAGGTGGGGTGGTGGTTAGGTCGCCAGCCACCCCGGGGCCGCCACACCGCCAGGAAGCCAGGGTTTGGGGAGACCTGGGGCGTCACCCACAGCCCCATCACTGGCCGAGGCCGTCCCCTCTGTGCCTGGCGGGATTCCTGACCCACGGGGCTTGTGAGCACGGAGATGCTTTTCGGCCACTGAGTTCAGGGGCTTCAGTGAGCTGCCACACGCTGCGCTGCCCTCCTCTTCCTCTTGCTTTTGCCCTCCCTGGGCCTGTCACCTGGGGGCCCACGTCTGGGCCAGAGCTCTGGCGGCCGTCAGAGCAAGGCCAGGTCCGGGCCTGGGGGCGCCCCGGGGGGCCTGGCGGGGAGCGGGGACCCCCGGGGAGGTGTCCCTGCAGGGGCTGGTGAGGGAGCCCCCTTCCCCCCGCCCACCTGTCTGCCGCGTTCCTGGAGCTCCCGGCGGGCGTCCCCCTGCTCGCGCTGCAGCTCCCGCAGGCCGGCCCTCAGTGCCCCGGCCTCCCGCTGCGCCGCCGCGCCCGCCGCCTCCAGGACGAGCAGCCGCTGCCCCTTCTCCTCCGCCGACCGCTGAAAACTGAGGGGCGTCCTGAGCTGGGGCCGGGGACGCCAGCCGGGGGCCCAGCCCCTCCCTGAAGGGGCGGCCGTCCCAGCGGCCTGCCAGGTCTCTGCCCACCTAGTGACCGGCTTGGCGCTCCAGTGTCCCCAGGCCCAGCCTCTGCAGGGCCCTGTCACCTCGGACACACGTCCCCCCAGCCCCGAGTGGCCACGCCTTGTCACCCCGTCACCCCCGATCACACTCCCAGACTCCCAACACCCAGCCCGGCCGGCACCTCTGCCAGCCCTGTGCAAGCCGCCGTCCCGCCTGGCCGCCCCACAGGGCCCTGCCTGGAGCCTGGCCCTCGGCCTGGGCCTCCCCCGTGCCCCGGGGGTGGCTGCCTGGCCTGCCGGACGGGTGCTCCCTGCAGGGGGGGACAGGCCTGCCGTGTCCAGGGCTCCCCCGAGGGGCCAGCACTGCAGCAAGAGGCCTGCTTGGTGCCCCCACCCCCCAAGGTCTGCTCCACTGTGGACGCCCCGCCCCCTCCGCGTGTCCCCGACGAGGCCCGGGAGGGGGGGGCGGTGAGCAGTGGGCGGCGGGCTCTGCCCTACCTGGCCTTGTCCTGCTCGGCTCGGCGGAGGGCGGCCCGCAGCTCGCTGTTGGAGCGGCACAGCACCTCCAGCTCGCCGGCCTCGCTGCCCAGCGCCTGGCGGGCCTCCCGGGCCTCCCTGCGCAGCCCCTCGCAGCTCTCCTCGGCGCCCTGCAGCTCCTGGCGCAGCACCGCCAGCTCCTCCCGGGCCACGTCCAGCTGAGCCCGCAGCCGCTCCGCCTGGGGGAAGAACGCAGCTCTGGGGGCTGGCCGGGCCGGGGCCGCCACCAGGCACTGACTCTGGTCTGGTGGCCACCAGTGTCCCAGCCGGCCCTGGGCCTCCACGAGCTCCCCCTGCCCCCGGCACCACCTCTCCCTACCTGTATGGAGGCCGGGCAGTCCCCACCCGACCCCTCCTGGCTTGGTCCTGCCTGTACTCCCCTCCGGGACGCCGGGACAGGACCGCTGGCCGGCAGGGCCTGCCTGGGACGTGGCTCTGCCGACCCGTGGGCACTGTCCCCCCACGTTCAGCTGCCACTGCCCAATGGCCATCCCCACGTCAGAATCCCCCTGCAGCCCGAGGGGAGGCTGGCCGTCCCCTGCCGGGCAGGAGGTGGCTGCTGTCGTGGGAGCCATCCTCGAGGCTCGGTCCACAGAAGCACAGGCCTCTCGGTCCTGGGGTAGGGGGCAGCCAAGGCGGGAGGGCTCTGGAGCCACTGGCAGCCATGTGCCTCTTGACCTTGGCCTTGACAACCTGGCAGCTCAGCTGCTGGCCTCGGGCCACTCTGCACTTCCGTGGGGGGCCACAGGCGTGAGTCCTCATCCCAGGGTGTGACCCCCCCACTGCTGGGTGCCCTCCCACCACCCAGGCCTTGCAGGCAGGGCCTGCTGTCCATGCAGTCATGTGAAGTGTGCGGGGGAGGTCAGTCCCTGCCCTGGGACAGACACCAGGCCTTGCAAGGCGTCCAGGAGAGCCCTGAGTGGCTGGGGGGGGGAGGACGGCGCAGCCTGCAGGCCTCAGACCTGGGGCAGCGGCTGCGGGGACTTGCCGGGGTTCGGCCCTGGCCCTGGTCCCCTGCCACCTGGCCAGACCGCCGGCCCTGACCAGGAACCGTGGAGAAGGCTCCACGCTGGCTCTGGCGTGTCCCAGGGGAGGAGGGCGGGAGCCAGCAGGGGCAGCTGACGGAGGGAGCCGCAATGGCTCAGCGACGTCAAGTCCCCGTCTGCCAAGAGCAAACCCTCTGCTGGCTGCCTCCTCGGGCCGCTGTCCAGGCCCGGCCGGCCCGGCTCCCCAGCCTGCCGCTGTTGTTGTTGTTCTGTTTTGGGGAAGGGCCGGGCTGCCCCCGCCCCCCTCCACCCCCGCATGTGGGAGCCACGGCGTGTGCAGCGTTTTCCGCGAGCTCAGCAGAAATCCGCCCAGAAGGTCAGGGACCCTTGCGAGGGCCCATTCGTCATAAAGGACGCTGTTTTCATTCCCAGGCAGGGGAGGCAAAAACAAGCAAAACAGGCGGGGGCCCGCCCGCCCCTCTGCCTCCGGAGAACAACCATCCCTTTTACAGGAATTTAACAGCCAAATCGCTTAATGTGATTATAATAATTATTTCTTTACTAGAAATTGTATAAACAGCCTCTTTTGAAATCTCCTGCAGGGAGGCGGCTCCGGAACTCTGCGGGGAGGAGGGCGGCAGCGGGGCGGCAGAGGGGGCTGCATGGGGACTGGCCCACGTGTGCAGGCGTGTGCGCTCGGTGTGCATGTGTGTCTGTTCACATGCATTCGAGAGGTGTGTGTGTGTGAGCATGTGCATGCACGCATGTGTGTGTTTGGTGCACATTCTTGTGCATACACATGTGCACTGCGTGGCACCTGTGGGTGTTTACAGGCCTGAATGTTGTGTGCACGTGTGAGCGCGTGGGGTGTGCATGCGTGTGCTCATCGTGCACTTATCACTTTGGGTGTGCACATACACATAGGTGCATGTGTTCTCACGGTGTGCATGGCGTGTCCATACATGGCTTATGCATGTGTGTCCGTGCACACATGTGTGGACCTCAGGCAGGGCTGCAAGAGCCATTTAAGGGCTGTGAAAATGCACGGTTTCCATGGCGACCCTGGGCCAGCCTGGCGCCTGGGAGGGCCCTGCTCCTCCTGACCCACTGCTGGCCCCACAGCCTCCGGGTGGGACAGTTGCAAGCGGGGCAGCAGTGGCAAGCGTGGGCAGAGTCGCACCCAACCACAAAAAGCCTACGCTCACGGCCACAGCCCCCGGCAACCAAGCCGCGGTTCCTCGCCCCACCGAGGGCGTCCTCCACCTCCCTCCCGGCAGTGCAGAGGGCGCCATCCCCTCACACACACACTCTCCCAGCTCGCCTCCTCCCAGAGCTTCGGGCATGCAACCGGGCATTGGGCAGAGCAGTCCCCCTCCCAGTCTCCTCTCTAACCTTACAACACAGTCCAATCCGACACACACCACAACACAACACAGTCCAGCCTCCCTCAACACAACCAACAACACACAACAACACTTCCATCCCCAGTCCCCCACCTCTCTCTCAGTGTCGCTCCTCTGGGCCGCAATGTCCCGCAGACTCTGGCTAGAGC